TACTTGGCATTTTTCCATTATAAAACTTGAAAACATGGCAGATCTGATAACCACTGCTTTTTTTTTTTTTTTCTTTTCTTTTCTTTCTTTTTTTTTTTTTTTTACTAATTTTGTCTTGCATAAAGTAATTCCTTCGGTACATGATTTCTTGACTTATTCTCCAAATTTTCTTTAGTCTTTCACTAGTCTTTGTAGGAAACTCTTCTATTCTAAAACTAAGCCTCACATAAGTAAAATTGCATACAAATATTCATACAACATTAAGTAAAATCAGATCTTACACACAGTTTCAGGTTTTAGTGAGCTATGATTGCACCACTGCATGCTAGCCTGGCAACAGGAATGAGGCTCTGTCTCTCTCTTTTTTTTTTTTTTTTTTTAAAATTTCTTTGAAGCACTGTGGTTTGTAGAGACTGTCTCTTAAAAAAAAAGAAAAATGAGATAATGTGACAATACTGTGAACATATTTAAATCAGCCTTACAGAGATAGATAAACAGAATTTGGCTATTTGGGAAAGTTTGTAAATTAATAATTTTATTCTTATTCTTATTTATTTACTTAACAAAATTTAATATTCTAGTAGGTTCAACAACTTGTGACACACATCTCAAGTGATTAAAGTCATTGAGATGTGCTGATTAATATGCAATCTAATTGAGCCTCAAGTCTTTGTGAAGTAATGAGATAGTGATGTTCTCCCCATATGCAGATAAGAAACTCAAGACACAGCTAGGGTTATATACCGAGTTAATGACAACACCTGTATTATACCACTTACATGACTTATGCTCATTAATTTATTTAGCATTTGCAATGGATCTTTTTTCTACTAATCTTTTCCAGGATCTGTTTTGCTTCATATGAGTGAGCCCCAACCCTGATAATAGCACAATGTTGTTTCCTAGTTGGTAGTGACAACACTGTTACAAGACAATTTGTTTATAGTAGCAAAGCCTGATAATGATTTTCTCCCACTTTTTTTGTGAGTAGATTCAACATTCCCCATAGTAATTTTTTTTTGTTTGTAGGGCCAGAGGCATAGCTGGCACTTCAGGAAATCTGCATTCTACATTAGTTACATTACAGTTTGTGATGTTTGTAATTAGAAGAAAAATAGCAACATGTTGGCTCTTTTTCTGTTTTCCTTGCAGGTGCACACTGATAAGGGATAGAGACTCCTTAGCTGCCTCTTACATTTGTGCTGTTTTCTTACCATATTTTACATATTAGAAATTCTGTGTAAGATGCTGTGCCCCTGAAAGTTTAGCAAATGAGGATTTTAATACTTTTTTCATAAATGCAATTTACGTAACTTTTTTTTTTTTGAAACAGTGTCGCTCTGTCAGCAGGTGCCAGGCTGGAGTGCAGTGGAGCGATCTCGGCTCACTGCAACCTCCGTCTCCCAGGTTCAAGCAATTCTTCTGCCTCAGCCTTCCAAGTAATGGGACTACAGGTGTGCACCACCACATCCAGCTAATTTTTGTATTTTTTAGTAGAGACAGGGTTTCACCATGTTGGCCAGGATGGTCTCGATCTCTTGACCTCATGATCCACCCACATCAGCCTCCCAAAGTGCTGGGATTACAGGCGTAGGCTTACCATGCCTGGCCCTTAAATAACTTTAATGTAACTATTAAAAGTAAACAAGTTACAGAAAATTCCAGTTTTAAAAAACTGAGTTACTCTAATTCATTGTTGATTCACCAAATTAAACAAATTAAGATACATGGTAGAATGAAACTTGAAATTGGGATTATCATAGTCATGCAGCTTACTGGGTTTTAAAAAATCACCATAAGAATGGAATTATGTCAATTTTAGAAAACAACATATCTAGAACTAGAAATTTGTGAAGTTCCAAAAGTTGATGACATACATACATACATATATGTATGTGTATATATATATATGTATGTATGTATGTATATATATATTCATGTTACATAATATCTTGTCATATATTTAAGGGCTTAAGTTAAAAATACTTACTAATGAGCTCTTCAGGGAGACAAGAAATTTCCCAGGAGGGAGAAATTTAAAAGCTCCAGAATCTAAATACATTAAATAAGAAATCAGTCTACTCCTGAAAATATTTATGGTAGCCAAGTTTTGGCCAAATAGCTTCTTTGTCAAAGATATTCCTCTTCAGACTAATTATTGTCATTGATTTTAAGCGTACTACTCTATATGATAGATAGAGTGCAAGGGATTCATTCTGAACTTGTGTCAGTATGTTCAGATTATTCTCTGATGAAGATACTTTATTAGTGATTGCTAATAAAAAAGTTTATCACTTGTCTATAACTCTCAGTGTTTAGATAAATGTAATTATTAGTGATTCTTGCCATGTCACACCTTGCTCTTTTGGAAAAAATATTTTTGTCTGTTTCAATATTTTACTCAGTGATATAAACAGATAATTCCATGCACATTCCAAGATGGATAGGTCTTAAGAAAGAAAATGACACTTTATTAATCCACCATAAGAGCTTATAGTCATAGGATTGCATATAATGATACTCACAAAGATCAGTTTCTCCAATTTTTCTTTTGAGTACAAATTAGACCATAAAAATTTCAAAGCAGACTTTGAAAATCTATTTCATGCAATAATAGTACCAATTTAACTTTTTAACCTATCACACTTCAAAGGATTTTTGTGTAAATCTGTTTTATTTTGTTGTTTATTTGTAATAAAAATTGAGTAAACATTAATATCTAACCACTTTCTTTTTCTTTCTTTAAATGATGCATTTATTTCTTTTAAAAACATGTTCAGTTCTAATTCAGGCACGGACACTAATAGTTTTATTAGGCAAATACTTTAAGACTTCAGTCTTCTCCTGTGTAAACTGATGTCAGATATGGAATTTTAAAAATCTAATATTTTAATTGATTTACTCAATAAAGTACTTTTTATAAGTTATCAGTTCTCTCCCTCTATATATATATGTGTGTGTGTGTGTGTGTGTGTATGTATATATGTGTGTGTGTATATATGTATATATGTGTTT